ATGAGATTCCTTAGATGTAGTGGTAACTAAGAATATAGACTTATGTAGTTCATATTCGCTATGGCTGATGTGAATCATTTTCAATAGCATTCGTCCTTGGGGTAAACATTATGTCAATGCAAGAAAATTTCATAAAAATATCTTAAAAATTGCAACCTGTAAGTTGAATAAAAGACAGACGGACAGACGGACGTATAGGTTTAGATCAATTAAGAAAGTGATTGTGAATCGATCGGTACAATAAAAGTTGGGTCTTTCTGAAGCCGTTCTGGGTGTTACATATATTCGCAAAAACTCAATATATCTTACACCACAGCTGGTGTAGGATGAAATTATTTTAGTTTCACAAATTTTACTAATCATCTGCATTGATGTAAATATTTCGGTTAAAACTACGGTTTTTTTTTGTCGATTCGACGAGGTTGTCATGCGTGCCGAAACATTAAAAGTTCTTGCACGCAAAAACATGTTCACAGGACAACATACTGCGTGACTAACTGTGTTTCTAAAAATAGAAAAAAATTGGTTTTTTACTCATTACTTACAAACCATATCAGATACAATGATAAGAACTTTGTCGCTTGCTCTACTGTAGTGCATTTACAAAAGTGGAAAAAAGTCGGCTCTAATTGTATGCACAATATTATAGAGTATTAGTGTAGAGTATTCATTCTTTTGTCGAAACGGTTGCAACGCCCCGGAAGAAAGTTTCTGAGACCCTATAACGTACATATATTCTCGATCAGCATCAAATTCTAAATCGATTTAAGCATGCCCATCTGTTTGTCTCTTCGTAATGTTACTTTGTCTACAGTATGTCTGTCCATATGTCCGTCTATTGAATATAATCTTGTGGTTGCAAAAATAAAGACATTTGGCCACAAATTTGACAGAAACATTGGAAGTTCCTACATGCAAGTTTGTAGCGAAAATCGGTGGAATCAGTTCAAGAACGCGCCCACAATGCACTATCAACAGAGAACAATTCTATTTTTGAAACCAAAAAAAAAAAAATTGATTTTTGTTTATTATTCATGCTCTCAAATAGTTATAGAGATTAAAATTTTTACATTTCTATTCTATGAGCGATGTGCTCAAAAATTGGAAAAAACCGAACACATCCATTTAACAGTATAGTGTATCGAAATATCATTTTCTTTTCCTTTAAAGTGTGGTGGGTGTAAAAGATTTCGATCACAGGCGAATGTAATTTTGTTACTGGTTTTATCTGACAATGGTAATGAAAGGTAAATATTTTTGTATGTAAATTTGAAAAAAAAATTCTTTATATAAATAAGCACGCATCCTAAATTTTTTTTGCAAGCAATTATCAGCTTAGGAGTTATTAAATTTTATATCAATAATTCTTTTACATTATGGCTTTATTATAATAGCCCTATAAAAGGGGCTAATAAATGGATAATTGCTTTGTACAATTTTGTTAAAGAAGGCGCTTTTGATTTGCTAGGTGCGAGTAAGGCATACAAACAAATATTGTTCGGATCAGCATGAACGGATGATTCGGTTTAGCTAGTTTTGTGGGTCCATCACTCGTTGAAATCGCGATTACTGACTGAAAACATTCTTTTTAGGGGGCAATCAGCAAGAAAATGAATGATAATATTTTACTGCCACTTACATTATATGTATGGTCTTCCGGCCAGGCGTAAAGTAAATGAATAAAACGAATAAGTTGTAAACATTTTTCTTTCTTTCTGATTCAAATCGCATGGGTATCTATTTATCTTTCTAAAATCAAGTAAACAAAAGAAAGAAAAATTAACGTTTGTCGTAACTAAGCGCAAAAGGCTTTAAGGTTCGTTCTCACTTCTTTTCGAAAGGCGCGCAAGAGATTCTTGCATTATAGATGCGAAAATGATTAACACTTTCGCGCCTTTTCTTAGATCAGTACCAAGGCAACAGTAAATTCAAGAACATGAGATTGTATTTTTGATTAATTTTGGTAAAAAGTCCGCGATTCTGCTTAAAAGTTTTCGTCAAAATCATCCAACTGTCTACTCTACTTCTTTGCTACTTTAGTATAGAAACGACTCAAATTAGTTTTGGCAAGCAACTCAGCACTAGATCATAATCTTCTCTTGTATTATGGAAACATTACAGTTTGCCACGATCGCCAATCATTAAACATACTGCATCATTTCGATTTATACAGTTGATCATATAACGATTTTTCAAGATACAGCTTCATTTGGGAAATGATCGAATAAGTAATCGGCTACGGATCATTTTCAATAGCGTTCGTCCTTGCGCCAAAATACTTTGATGTACCGAATTTCATCAATCTATCTCAAAAATTACGACTTGTAGGTTGAACAAAAAAAATAGAAGACGGACAGACAAACTTAAACTGATTCGAAAAGTGATTCTGAATCGATCGATGCAATAAAGCAGAGCTGTATTTAAAGTTTCTTTCGGTGTTGCATTCGTTCGCACAAATTTAGCATATCTCGTCGCAAATGTAGGCTATGCAAGATTGTTGAGAGTCTCCGCGATATTTTACCAAAAAAAAATGTTGCGCATATATAGAAGAGTGTCTGAGAATGTCTTTTCCCCTATTTTTTTGTTCAAATATTTATGACAAATATGCTCGAGCTGTATTTACTAATTTCGCCCATCTTTCAGGCAATTCGTAAATACCGTCTCTAAAGAAACCTTGGTGTTTGGAAACGATTTACAAGAGAATCTATATCTGGGTATCGGCATCAGAATGAAAGCAGTTCTGAAACAACCCATAAGCCATTTGTTGAAATTTGTTTTAATCGGTAGTAATACCCGCTGATAACGGCGGAGGAGGTAAAACTTTCCAAGCTAGAGATGCGTACAGTTTCTAAAACAGTTTTCTTGCATGAGGTAGCAATTCTTCATACTGAAAACTAGCGATATCGTGCCTTTTGTCTTGTTTAAACATGAGTGACGGAATGTTTGCTATGCTATGTGATGGTAAAAGGAAAGTGATAGAGAGAGTGGCAGTAGCTTAGTATTTTATACCTTTACCGAATAGGTAATAGGTGCGTTGTGAACCCATGAACTTGCTTGTCGCGACTCTTATCTACTTGACTATGTGGCAGCCCAGTATTATATATATTGCTTTATTTTGTCGTATCAATTGCTTCAGTTGTTGTTCGTGTGAGAATTTCATTTGGTTTGAAATGAATCATAATAAAACACGCAATACGGTCGGTGTTATTGATTCGCATACTCTGCGTTATCGTTATTTGGGCTTTGGATATCGTATTGCGTTAACCATTCATCATTCGTAAGGACTTTGGTTCGTTAACGTTCGTTTAATCACGAAAAGTAAAGCTTCTCGCAAATAACATTTTCCGATGCACAACTACACCTATTCAAAGTCCCCGACAAGCATGTTGGATACGCTTTAAAACGATAACTTGCAAAAAGTTGCGGTAATTTTAATAGACAATGTCCCATTTTTATTAATTGTTTCATAATACTATTTACCTTTTCTGTCTTAGGAAGAAATGCGGGCAGTTATTCACACATCATACATACCGTACGTACATTAAGCAGTTTAGGCTAAAGTTTTATTCTTATTTTTCTGAAGAAAATCACATAACACTTGTCTTTGTTGAAAGAAAATTATTTTTATGTTTGAATGTGTGTGCTTTTTGTAAGGAATAACGATTTCTTTGCAGTAATAAATTCCTTTTGTTTCGATTTATAATTGAAATTGAAAACGATATTAAGATAAAATCCAAAACATATTTAAAAATGTTTTATATTTTTAGAATGTCATGGGGTAGAATAGCATTACAATACTTCTCCTTGGTAAGAAGTTAGTATATCATAATAAGTTAATGGTAATCGTTTTTCTGAGTATGGATATAGTGGGGGAATGAGTTCTGTGTTCGAGAATTGCAAGCTTGACTCTATTAATAGATATTGATTGCACCTTACCACTGATTGATGTCGATTTTAAAAATTTTGGTATCACGATACAGTACTTTATAAAGTCCTTTGTACATTTATATATATATATATATATATATATACTTGTGTATGTGTTTATTATACGCTTGTTAAACACTTGAATTCATTTCTTATAGAGGTAATTAAAATGTAATTGCATAAGTGAATACTGTATGTAATGTAAAATGAACTGTTTGAACTGTTATGTCCTTACCTATGCTATGACAGAGAACTGTCATTGAAGCGATGTGATTTCTCTTTATTATATCCCACCACTACTTGGGTTACAGGGTATACTAAATTTGGGCGGACATGTGTAACACACAGATAGCTTTTAATTTGGACCCAAAATTTTATTAATCCGCTCTATGTCTCTGTTAAGTTTGTCTATCCGTCTGACTTTCTGTTCGTGTGTTTTTGTTTTCAACCTATAGATCGCAATGGTCCAGATATTATGATAAAATTCGTTACACTGACGTTACATAGACGCAAGGATGAATGCTCTTGAAAATACCTTGGATCGATTCACTCTTTCCACCACTCCCCATAATATAGCAATCCTTTATTTTATTGAATATTTCTTATACTACAGTTTGAATATGTAATTTGTATAGTAAAACAAAAATCTCTACTAATCTTATTCTTTATATATATCAAGGTATTGATAAAAAAATTTTACTTTTGTTTATCTTTAATAAAGATTGCGATAAGCAATATAGCAGAACAACTGCTTTTATCGGATTTTGAATGGCTGATATCAATGGAAATCGCACAACAGCAATATACAGCAATAAAATATAACAGCGACACCACCACCAACAACGTATTATTATCATAGATAAGATAACAATAATGAGTATACAAAATCATTGTCTGAGTCATGAAAGTTGGTCACAAGTTGCATTTATATGCGTACTTATGCATCAGGCAGTGTAAGTGCATATATATGAGCGCCAATAATTGTTCAATAGATAATGGGAGCGCACAGAAGAAGCTTTAAACACTATCATCAATTCTTCATTAAATACTTTTTGAAAGGGGGGGGGGGGGGGGGCGGGGGGAAAAAAGAGAAGCACTGCACTCATGTGAAAGTTAATTAATTCTAGTCAATAGGATTGGATCGATCGATTTGTAACTTATTAGTTATTGCCTGGATACATAAACTAATGGTTAAAAACGGATAATTTGTTGTTATCAATTAAAAAGAGAGTATAATATAAAGAAACAATAACTAATGATCATATATCAGTGCAAAAAACCGAAACTCATAATAATTTTGTGTCTATTAGTTTTCGTTGGTCTATCAATTTGCATATATATTGACTACATTTTGCCTGAATTCTATCAATATCACTTGGTGCGGAGTTATGCCAACAATAATAATAACAATAATAATAATGCTGATGGCTCAATCCAAACGCGAACTCCTATCATATTATTATGGAATGATTTTTTCGGAGATTCGCGCTGGAGTTTACGCAAAGATGATTTAATTCCGTCCCATTTACGTAATCAACTTAAGTGTCCTGTCTATGAATGTATGATAACGAATCGTAGAGAATATTTACCCGCATTAGAATTGTATGACGCTGTGGTGTTTCATGTCGCACAACCACGTTCCATTATAAAATCGGTGCCTTCTCGCAGATCATCAAAACAATTATATATATTCGCTTTAATGGAACCACCAGCAGAGACTAAACACATTTTACGAAACGAAAATGGTTTTTATAATTTAACTATGACTTATCGCTTGGATTCCGATATATTATGGCCTTATAAATGGATAATGGATAAAGAGACTGAAATGCGTGTCGCTCCCGCTGAATTCCCGCAATGGCGTAAACAATTTGTACATGAAAATGATGATGACTTTTTAAAGAGATTGTGGCCGCAAAAAGTCAAATTTTCGGCATGGTTCGTCTCGCATTGCAAGACTTTATCGGAACGAGAAGAATTGATCAAACAATTGCAACAATACATCGACATAGATATTTATGGGAAATGTGGTAACTACAGGTAATAAGAGTTTTACGCTTTTTTTTTTTTGTTAATATCAATTTATTTTCTTCTAATCACAATGATTTTGTTCAATTTAATTGTAGTTGTCCGCGCAGTTCAACTGACTGTAATCGTTTACTTGATGAAAAATATAAATTTTATTTCTCATTCGAGAATTCTGTATGCGTCGATTACGTTACCGAAAAGCTCTATAATATTATGGAATATAACGTTATACCGGTGGTCTATGGTGGTGCCAATTATACACGTTTCGCGCCTCCTCATTCATATATTAACGCTGAAGATTTTGAAAATCCAAAAGCTTTGGCCGACTACTTATTGTACCTGTCACAGAAACCTGATGCTTATATGCGCTATTTTTGGTGGCGTCACTATTATAAGCTCATCAATTATTCGCCATTTTGTGATATATGTAAGAAACTGCATGAGCCCAATTATCATTTGAAAACCCAAATTTACGAAAATATTGAAAAATGGTGGTTGGGCAACATGTGTCGCTTTAAGATGCGTATTAAATTCTAAAATATAACATAACTTGTAACTAATATTGTAAGTGTTATCGTTATATAGAGCTTAAGTTATTTAATTAAATTTGTTCTATCTTTTCCTTTATATATAATAAATCAAATAAGTATAATATGTCCAAATTCAAGATATTAATCCGAAGCAAATGAAGCGATAACATAACAACTCTATGTATCTTCATAGAGTTTTATTTATTTATTTATTTTTTTTTTTTTCGAAAGGGCAGCAGAAGTATATTAAAGTTGATGACTTTTTTGTTATTTTTTTATACTTTTTTGGAAAAGAGATCATAGTGAGCTTGGTAGGAATCCATTTCACCATCTCTTTTATGGTCGAATTTACAAACTTGTAAACTATAGAGTTTGTATATGCTCTTGGATCAATTCTGTAGATGAAAATTATTAACAAGTCGATTTTGGTCAAAGGGAAAGTCGACAATTTTTGCAATAATCTACTGTCGGCAATAAAGGCTTCGATCAAATAGAAATCATATATGTTTCCTAGCTGATTTAGAAACACTGTACGGGGCCACGGCCGACTCTTATGTACAATATCAAACCTGGAAGGTCTTAATATAATGCCTTTTAGAAATGACAGAGTATACAGCAAGTTGTCGAAAAAGTGCGTTCGTCTTTGAGCCGAAACACATCAGTGCGGAAAAATGGACAGACAAGCCTAGATTGGCATAATAAAAGGTGGATCTATTTCAAGTCCTTCTGGTAGACGTAGAAAACATAATCAATAGTATTGTTAACGTCGTGTTTACATGGCGACTTGATTGAACCGAAACTTATGCTCAAACAAGGCATTTGGATCCAGTAAAGAGTCCACATTGGCCAACCTAAATCAGCCCATAAAATATTCTGTTGCAAATAACTGCCGCCTCGAAAATGATATCGTGATCTCGGTTAATAGTTGCTACTAATTTTTTAAATAGGGTGAAATCCGATTTATTAAAATCATACCTTGGCTCTCCAAGACTTGAGTTGGATGGCCTTGCCAGATTAGACTTCACCGCCGTTTGATTGTATTGATGCATTAAGTAACGTATGATGAGAATTCTCAGGTTAAGGAGAAATGCGAACAACGACCATCCGAGAATTCCAGCACATTAGAAAATATTAGGTCCAAGTTCCTATTATTTTTAATAAGAATATCATTTCGCCTAAAAAGCCTAACTCACAAATGTCAATCGCAACCGTCGGCAAAATCAAGATCAAAACATTTGCAAAAATCCGACTTGGGCATACCATTGCAACACCTTAATGGATCTTTAAGAATTCTACTCCTCCGACATGTGACTGTGGACAACGTCTTACGATTACACATATATAACACTTGGTGAATACCGAAACCTTTCTAAAATTCGAGGCCTAGTTTTCAGAGTATCTAACACTATGGACATCTTCAGAAAACCTTTTGAGCACAATATCAATAAAATTTTTAGCTTTATTAAAGCTGCTAAAATAATAAATCATCAAATTTAAAAAAAAAAAAAAAAAAAAAAAGAAGAAGATCTGGTAGTCTTAGTTGTTAGTGCTCATCCTACTTTTAGTCCTAGTATTTATTCTTTTGGTTTAAATAAATAACAATAATAATAATAATAATTTCAATAAAAACTCAAGTTTATGAGGTGGATATCCTCTACGAATAGTAATACTATAGTTGTAATCAATTTAGCTGCCGGGGCATAGGCGCTTGTATACGTTTTTATCTCTATAAAAATCCTTTTAATCACTAATCTATCTTTATATAGGTGAGAAGAATTTCATATAAAGAGCTAGTAATTTCAAAAAATGGGAATTTTTTCGGCAGGACCAAAACGTGGGATGATGTGATCTAAATTTGGAATCGATAGCAAATTTATTTCTCTTATCAGAGATTTTTTTCTTCTTCATTTATTTACGTTAGAAGACTTTCTTGTTGCATAAAGGCATACTTCAAATCGATGCCCTTATGGCGGGATCTAAAAAATAGATTTATATGATCCAAGCTTGGTACAGTTAATTATTATGCCAATTGAAACAATTGTCATCATTAAATAATAAAAATTCGATTTTTTATACCCTACATTACTTGTGGTACAAGGGTCCACGAAGTATTTGCCGATGTATGAAACACTCAGAAGGACTTGAGATACAGTCCACTTTTTGTTATATCCATCGATTTAGAATTAATTTCTGGTCTCAACTTTTCCGTCCGTCTGTCCGTCTACTCTTCTTTAATCTGAAGGCCGCATTTTTTGAGATATATTTACGAAATTTTATACATACTATGACGTGTTTTGGGGCCAAAGACAAGGGCTTTTGGGAACGGTTCGGAACGGACTGCTTCCCACACAACGTATTATTTTGAATAGTCGTTATATGCATATCTGTAGGGTGATAGTTAATGACGGACTACGATGCGCTGTAGGGCTTTTATTTGTTGTTACATTAAAAATTACTTCTCGTGAGAACCATAATATTCGTTCACACCCAAAAATTTGAAATTGGGCTATCTATCTAATTCAGATTTTTCAATTTGATATGCCGGAATATGATTGCGTAGCAATTTTTATCAAGAAATTTTGAAAATTAGCAAAGTATTTCTTGTACAAAGACGTCTACAACTTTACATGAGAAATTATCGCGATAATAGTTCGGTCAAATATATTTTCAATAGCGTAATTTCTTGGCCATAGAATACCAGTGTATGCGAAATTTCGCAAATTGTCTCGAATGTTGCGCGTTATACGTTCAACAAACAAATACCTGAAGAGGCGTTAAAGAGACCGAAGGGCAGGAAAGAGTTTAAATCGATTAAAAAATTAATTCCGAAACGATTGACATAATGAAATATAACTTGGTCTTAAGTCATTCTAGATTTTGGCTGCATTCGCATAGTCTAATATCTGCTATACCCTAAATGTATCACAAGGGGTAGGGTATAATGGTTTTGAATCAACCAAAAGATAAATCCCTCTCAATTCCTCCAGTGTCTTGCATATATCCTTACAAACTTAATACATCCCATAAGTGCTGTAGAGTATAAGAAATGAGGTGAAATGACTCTCAAGTGACGACTAATGAACCATTGAAGTAACTTGGTCTACGAAAGAATGTGGATGATTATGAGTAAGCCACAATTAGTCAGAGGCTATCGTGAATCTTTAATAGATGACCGATGATAACTCGCAGATCGCTATAAGTAATTTACAACTGCTAAGCGGTGACTGGAAAATGTTTAGGATGTCTGTTATATGTGATCAATAAACATACTGCTCTCATTCCTTATATATGATAGATTATACGCTATTGCATTTGTAGATGTTTTTGAAATTGTTTTTGAAAATTTTTCGTTTCCTATCACTAGAAAATAGTATAAAGGGAGGGACAGAATAAGCGACCGCTAAAACACATTTAAAAATTTTAACATTTTTCTCTTTTGACATTTATCCTTATCGTCTCTTATATATATTTCTTAACATTTAACACAAGTGTAGAGTTTGCGCATTCAATCCGTAAGCATAGCACAGTAGCCTCTTGCAAATGTCAGGAGTCATAATAAATACAATTTCAATACTGGCGTATGAGGGTAGTTTATTGATGAAAAAAGTTAGCAACAAATGTCAACAGAGAGATTTAACTGCCATTTTTCTTTTTTTGTTAGCGAGAATAAAGGTCAGAAAAGAAAAAAGCTTTAGCGATGTGTTAAGCTTTTTGTGTAAGGACTTTTCAGTTGTGTGCGAAACACAAAAGCTAAGGGAATAATTTAACAAATTTTCTTCATTCAGTGTTGGTTTTTCCGATAATTCATACGTGCTATTTAAAATAATAGTGTGCGTGTGTATGTTGTATAAAATATAAAAAAATAAAAAATAAAAAAAAAAATTTTTTTTCTTTCAAAATTATTCTAAAAGAAATTATAAACCTTTGACTTTTAAACGAATAGAGGCGTAAGTTTAATAGCAAATTTTATTGATACAACAAATAGTAAAAGGGAATAATATTGAAAAAAGGAAAAAATTTATTTCTAATTTGGAAAATTTTTTCCTTTGTCTCTTGCTTGCCAAAGGAAATTTCGGTTTTTCTATAGAACATCTAATGATTTTGTTTGTCTATAGAAGATCTAAAGAGAAAATGATTTAATTTTTTTGATTTTTTCTTTATTATTATTAAAACGGAATCTTTTCTTGATCAGCAAATTAATTCAAGCAAATTTTGTGAAATTATAACCGTTTTTTTTTTTTAGCTATACACTGAGTAAGTGAACATTAACGGAATCGATTTTTCCCATTAATGTCACAGAATATAGATTTTCCTGTATCTGCTGGCTAACTGCCTGTCATTTTTGTGCCAAGTGTATTATAAGTGTGCTTTTTGTTAACTTTAACTGTATACCGTTGCCTACCTACCTACGTACACATTGCATTTATATATGAGTGTACATTTATTTCGCTCTCTCTCGCTCTTTTGCTCTCTTTCAATTTCATTTTTAGCCTCCTAAATTTATTTTACAATCTCAAATGACAGCAATTGTAAGCAATGTGTATGTGCTGTATATGTTTTGTTGGTGATATTTGTAATTGCAATAGTAGTGACGGTAAAAGCAAAGCACATGCTAAGCATTGAAATATACCATCTGATGAAATAGATGTACTTGTTGTATGTACATGAATGTATGTATTTATGAATTATGCTTAAGAATCTATTGATATTATTCTTCTTAATTGCTAATACCACTCAAGATATGGATGTTGCATGCACGTAAGGTATGATTTCGGAGCTAGTAAGAAATTGGTGAGTTAACTAAATGTAAACCTTGTGTTTTCCCCTTCCCCTTCAATATATTTGTTCATTATATAAACATTCGTCAAGCATACTTAAATGCTTCTTATAGAATGCGTCATCCAATAATTCTTTCAAAGGACATATTCTTACTAATATAACAAACGTGTAGACAGCTTTTTTAATTTCCCCGAACTCCCATTTTTATCTTTTTGCCTATGTACTTAGTCATTTGGCAAATATTTAGTATATGCATTTGTACGTTGCAATATTTTCAGACCGATCTCGATGTCTCCGCTATTAGAGAATGCTTAAGTTACCAAAAGGTTTAAAGAAGAAAAAGAAGAAGTCGAAAAAGGATCAAGAACTTTTTACTGAAGAAGAACTTGAAGAATATAAACGCCAATTAAAGGCCAAGCAGGAGGCTGCTGTTGCTAAATCAGATGCTGGTGACTCCGATGCAGCATCAGATGTTGAAGGTTTAGCACCAACAGCTGCAACATCAAATACTGCTTCGACTTCTGGCTTAACGGAAGAAGCTACCACATCTGAAGTTACAGCAGAGGAAATCGAACCCGGTACAGGAGACGAGGAGTGGGCTAAATTTAAAGCTCTTACTAGTGGCGTTGATACTATATTACATAAGACTCAGGACGAATTAGATCGCATTAAAAAAGAATCGTTTTATCAACGTTTACCTTCAGCGGCTGAGAAGAAACGCCTTGAAGAGGAGGAGGCGGCACGCCGTGAAGCCGAACGTATTGAAGAAGAGAAACGCAAAGCTGCTGAATTAGAAGCCCAACGTGATAAGCTCGCCGAAGCTGTAGTTGAGCTTTCCGAATCGGAGGGTGAAAACGAGGCTGAGGTTGATGATATTTTCATAACAGATTACATTGATGCAATAACTAGTGGTGAAGTTCAACTTGCTGTTGTTCCAGATTCTCCTGTACTTGAAGTTGATACTGGACCAGATCCATTCGATACTACGTACGCTGAAAAAGTTATAGTTGGTGCGGATAAAGCCAAAGGCAATAAGAAACTCGTAAGCCTTGGCGCGGCAGTAGAAGTTCTTTCTGGTCGCGTAGAACGCGAAAAAGCTTTAGAGCTTGCTAAGCCCAAGCGTAAGTTGCGCAAAGGCATCAAAAATTTATTGCTTAGCGAAAGTGTAGATTTAGCGGATGCCGAAGAAGATCTTTTAGCGCCAGAGCCACAAAAGAATCTTTTCGATGAACTGGTTGATGATGTACCAGAACCAGAAGCTCCTATCGATTTAAGTGTTTCATTGCATTTGAATTTTATTCAACCAAAAAAACCCCAATCGGACGAAGAAGAAAAGGAAGTTGAAAGTGAAACAGCTAAATTAGATCTATCAGAATTTGATGTCTTAAAAGATGATGATGATGACGAATTTGCAGAATTAGCTGCCGAATCTTTAAATAAAAAGGAAGAGATTAAAGTTATAACTGAAATTCCTGTGCCAAAAGCCGAAGTTCTTGCAGATGTTATTGATGCTGACTGGGCTGAATTTGAGCAGGAACCATTACAGGAAGAATTAGACAACAAAGGTAAGCAATGGAACGTACTTCAGTTTTCAGATTGTCATAGTTATAATTTTTTAATGTAGATAAACCTGCACGGCCGCCACCACCTGAGAGGCCAAAAACTGGTCCTCATTTGGTTGAAGGGGCTGTCTATATAAGCGACGACGAAGAAGGCAATCAAGACGACGACCCTTTTAACACATCTTACGCCGAACAAGTTATTAAAAAGACTACTGTTTTAGAAGAAGACGACGATTTTGATCCTAGGGCTGAGGAAAAAGTTGGACCACCAGTAAAGCCTCCTCCTCCTTCTATTAATTATCTATCGCAACCCGTACGCGATTTATTAGGTGGCAGTAATACAGACTTATCAAGAGTTGGTCCTTCTCCTATTATACCCTCTATCCAAGAGAGAGACATTGAATCAGAGGATTTCGATCCTTTCGATACTTCTGCTATTGTAAGCATAGTTCAACCAAAAGAAACTGAACTGAAGTTTATTGAACGAGAATTATTAAATGAGAATAGTTTGAAGCATTCGTTAAGTGATCCAGATTTCGATCCTAGAGCAGAGGAGCCTAAACAAGAACCCGCAGCGAATGTACCGGCTGTTCAAGTTAATACTGATACAGACTTTGATCCTGCACGTCGCAAATCCTCATTAAGCTTAAATTTGCAATCAAAGACAGTTGGATTTTTAATTCCTAGTCAGGATTTGCTGGGTGGTGCTGACGGTGCAAGCAATAAAAAGCCTCTCACTCCTTATTACGCTCCAGCCGCTCCTTCTATTGTAGAAAAGGAACAATCGGATCCATTCGACACGTCCTACGTACCGGAAGTTAAACCTACCGACATTGAATTAAAGCATTTAGAGGACGATTTACTGTCAAAGCCAACACTTAAGCATAGCTTGTCGGATCCCGACTTTGATCCACGAGCTCCGCCTACACCCGTACCTGCTGAAGATTTACTGTCTGTGAAAGAAAACATTTCCGCCAAAGTACTAACTCCTGCTCAAGAAAATAAGGACTTGCCCAGCTCTTCCAAAGATATTGCAGATCCGTTTGATACTTCAATAGCGGCCAATATACAACCAGGAAAAGCTGAACTGAAGCTTTTAGAAAGTGAATTATTGCCGCAAAAACAGTCCAATAAATCGGAGAGTGTGCTAGATACAGACTCTGACGCCCAAGAACTAGGCTTAGGTGATAAAGTTCTTACCCCTCAATTGCCTCACAAGAAAATTACAGTTCCCGAAGATATTGATCCATTTGATACGTCTATAGCTGAAAACTTAGCTCCAGGTGAAACCGAAATTAAACTACTTGAGAGTGAGCTTATAAATAATTAAACACCAAAACTTAAAGTGAATCAAAATGGCAAACCCTTTTTTAATGGATGATGAGCTAGTGGGTGTGGACGACGCAAGTATAAACCCATTTTTGATCCAAGGTAATGAAGATATAACAGCTGATGATAATCCTTTTTCTGGAGAAGCCTGCAATCCTTTTGCGTTTGGAAATGAACCGGAGGAACAGCCGGAGCAACAAACTAGCGGCGAATATGACGCTGCCATGAGTTTTTTCGGTACCACTATTGAAGCTGAGGACGATGCTTTAAGTGTAAAATCAACGGCAGATGAGGAAGAGGATACAAAAAAGGCACCTCCTTCTCGACCTGTGCCTCCCAAAACTCAGGAACTTATTAACACGGTATCGAGTCAGTTAGAAGAGACTAGCTCAGAGTTGCTAGGACGTATACCAGCAACGCGCTCTCCTAGCCCGGTATCTATGAGAGATCTGCACTCGCCTAGTCCAACGCCAGATAGTGGTTTGGCCGATCTCCTAGATATGTCTGAAGATGGTTCCTCGACAAATGTGCAAGGATTTGACATTGATTTAATAGTTGTTGGTAACATTAATGATAATCCCTTCGGTGTGCCCACAGGTATTCCTAACATACATGGCGCAGCACCTATGCCTTCGTCAGCCAAACATCAGCCTCCCCGACCTCCACCTCCCAGACCAGTTCCGCCTAGACCAGCACCGCCAGCAACTGTTAGTCAACAGCCGCCTCAACGGCCTGCTCCTCCTACGCAGCCAACAGCAACAACAACGACTGCAGCCGACCCTGAAGATCTTTTCGATATGTTTGGTGCTGTGAAGCCTCCTAAGCCACCACCCCCAAAAACCAAAGAGGATATTTTAAGTCTATTTGATAAACCAACACAACCAACCACTAAACCTGATTTGCTAAGTGATGATATAATCCTGGATTCAACACCGGCAACTGAAACTGCTATTACATCAGAACCAGAAGCAGAGAAAGTTGAAGAGCCAATATTTAACTCGGTTCTAACCCGCCCTGATGAAACAACGCATAACATAACTAGTGAACCTCCAGCGGCAAATAAGAATAAAATTGCTCCACAAGAACTGTCCAGTAAACAAAGAGCACCTACACCTGACATTGAAATAACGACTGTTGAAGACTTACCTAGATCCGACGATGAAGACGAGGCTGAACCTGCATCAAAAGTTCCGTCAGTAGTAATAGAAACAGAACCTAGTCCGCCTGGAGATGAAGATGATATATCTGTACAAGCTCAAATAGCCCCAACGGTGGAATCGGATCAAAGTCCCCCAACTGAGACCGCAATTGAACAAGCTGAGCAGGAATCATTACAAGAAGCATTTTCTGATATTGCTGTAAATGAGACAGAAGCAGAACAAGCAGCAGAGAAAATGGATACCGGTTTTGATTTTGCACCTGCTAGTGATGGTGACTCAGCCAATCCATTTGCAAGTCCAGATGAAGAAGAAGAAACGTATCCGCAAGCTGAAGCAGTTGCTAATATATTTGCGGTTGATGATTCTCAACCGACAAATGTGATAGAAAACATATTTTCAACACCTGTAGAAACTGACGTGCCAGCTCTTTCAACGATCAATATATTTGCAGCTGACGAGGAGCCAACTTCCGAAGAACCTATTGCTTCGTATGAAACCAATATATTTGCAGAGCCAGATGAATTTGATGCTTTCGCTGCGAAATTTGAATCTGTCAAAAAAGATAATGTCAGCATTTTAGATGGTTTTGGTGGTTCTGGAGCTGTGACACCTACAGTAGACGGTAAGTTCTTTGAATTTTTATGAACAAGTAACACAAATAAAAATAATTTTTCTCAGCTTGGGGTGATAGCGCATTTGGAACGCCCAACGCCGCTGCAGATGCAACGGATGGGTTTGGAAATGAGGATGATGACTTTTATGCTTTGCAAGCTCCCGTGCGTTCTGAGTCCGTGGAATCAGTAGAAAAAGATTTCAACGTTGTTATTCGACCAAAAACGGAAGGGTCTGCTGTCGTTGCGCCTCAATTAGCTCCTCCACCGCCGACACGCATCGCCGCTGGCCAACACATTGATGAAACAGCATCAGTGGTAAATCCTTTCGAAGATACCGGCTTTCCGGCACCTCCTCAACCCACTGAGCAATCAATGCAACGCACAGATTCACAAGAAACCCCTCAAACACCACTCTTCGACGAAGATGTTTCGCAACCCCTAGAAGATTTTCCACGCCTTAACTATGTTGGTCCTGGTTGGGAAATGCAACTGAGGCAACCGAACAAGAAAAAAATAACTGGCCAACGCTTTTGGAAAAAAATCTTTGTACGTTTGGTCATGCAAAACGATGTACCAGTCGTGCAACTTTTTAATCAAGCTTCTGATAAGCAGCCCTTTCAAGAGTTGCCATTACAACCGTCATATTCAGTATCTGAAATAGGAGCTCAGCAGTATGATCAATTTGGAAAAATTTTTACAATGAAGCTGCAATATATATTTTACAAAGAACGTCCTGGTGTTCGACCTGGACAAGTGACCAAAGCCGAGCGGATAACAAATAAACTCACAAAATTTGCACAATATGCTATAGCTGGTGATTATGAAGGTGTTAAAGAATTTGGTAGCGATCTAAAGAAATTGGGACTTCCCGTTGAACATGCACCACAGTCATCGCAACTCTTTAAAATTGGTTCTATGAACTATGAAGATATGAAACAGTTTTCGGTGTGTATAGAAGAAGCTCTTTTCCGACTGCCCGCTTTACGAGAACGTGCTTTAACTTATAAAATGGAAGAAGTACAAGTCACAGCAGTCGATGAAATAATTGTCGATCAAGATGCAGATGGAAAAATTTTAAAACAAATTGCACGAGTTAGACTTTTCTTTTTAGCTTTTTTGTCGGGTAAGACGAGCTTTAACGCTTATAAGCGTAGAATATGACAATTCCTGTTATACTTTTGTTGTATTTAGGTATGCCAACTATCGAATTGGGTGTAAATGATATGTGGCGTCAAGGTAAGGAAGTTGTAGGTCGTCATGATATTATACCAGTCGCTACCGAAGAGTGGATACGTTTGGAAGCAGTGGAATTTCATAGTGTAGTCAATCAAGAGGAATATGAAAGGTCACGTTTAATTAGGTACATTAATGTGAATTATTTTTAGAAATATTTTTAAATTTTGCTTTTTATATGTAACGGAGAAGATTTCAACCTCCTGATGCCAATTACATAGAATTACTACGTTTTCGTGTGCGACCACCTAAAAATCGTGAACTTCCTTTACAATTGAAAGCAACTTGGATAGTGACGGGCAATAAGGTTGAATTAAGAGCTGATATTTTGGTACCGGGATTTACCTCTCGAAAGCTTGGGCAAATACCTTGTGAGGATGTTTCTGTCAGATTTCCTATACCTGAATGTTGGATATATTTGTTTAGAGTTGAAAAACATTTTCGGTAAATGGTTATAAAATAATAAATATTGCTTAAGAGGACAATAACATTTTTCTAAAGATACGGATCAGTAAAATCGGCTCACAGAAGAACTGGAAAAATTAAAGGTATTGAAAGAATTCTAGGAGCAGTTGATACTCTACAGGAATCACTGATAGAAGTTACTTCGGGTCAGGCCAAGTATGAACATCATCATCGAGCAATTGTGTGGCGCTGTCCGCGTCTACCGAAAGAGGGACAAGGCAAGTAATTGTACTTATGAAGCGTATGAATTTGAAAGCTTATCATAATTTACTCTTAATTAGGTGCCTACACCACTCATCAATTAATATGCCGTATGGCTTTGACTTCTTATGATCAGATACCGAGTGAGTTGGCACCAAACGCATTCGTGGAGTTTACTATGCCGGCAACACAAGTCTCTCATACGACAGTTCGTTCTGTAAGTGTTCAGGATTCTGAAGCTGATGAGCCACCCGAAAAATACGTACGGTATTTAGCTCGCCATGAATACAAGTAAGTAAATATCTTTATATATGTATACCGTATATATATATATATATATATATGTATACCGTAGGACAGTTGTTTAATTTTGGTACATTTTATTTAGGGTGGGCATTGAAACTACGCATGGAGAGGCCACTAATGCGTATTTGGCCGCAACTAGACCAATACGTGAAGAGCCCGCTGCAAAACCAGTCGCCTCTCCCGTACCCCCTAGTGACTCAGATACAGATTCCAATTAAATTTTAAGTTAAGAAACATTTAGTATATCATTCCAAGTCGCAAGTCGTTTAGAACATAAAGAAAATACATATAAAATCCATATATACATATTTACGTCTCACTATAGAAATTAAAATTTAATTAAGCTTATAAACGTACACATATAATTATATAAACATATACCTATAAATATTAAAAACGGTCACAACAAAGTTCTAATACATGAAAACTACTATTATATATTATATATAATATAAAACGTTATCATAATTAATATTTAAACACCCATTATATTAAAATTATTAATCTCACCGATACCTAAGTTGCTGCTGAATTAAGATATGAAAGATATTTAAGGCATAGCGCAGTTTGTTTGCGGCATTCATTGTAGCGGCACATTGTGTATATTTAAACGTACGTACATATATTAGTTGACAATAACATAAGATTATGTCTTAAACTTGCATTGCAAGAGCCAAGCCAAAGATAGGTGAACGAAAAATTACACAAAAATAATTTAAAAACAAAAAAAAAAAAAAAAAAAAAACAAAAATTATCATAGGTATCAAGTGTTTAAAGGACTTCATAACAAAAATATATATATAAACTACACTTAAACACTTACATTATCACGTAAATTAAATTCTTATCGTGTGTGTATGTGTGTGTGTGCGCGTTGAAAAAGAAAAAAGAAAATAATAACACTACTATAAAGTAATAATAAAACTAAATTCAATTTATTGTTCATATAGCGAGAAAGAGACGACATTTTATTTTTAATCATAAATCACATACACACACACACACACACACACACACACATACAGATAACATTAACGATCATAAAATTTATTGTTATATCAATATCAAGACACGGCATGTAGTTATATTATTACAATAACACAACAACATGAGAAAACACGCTGTAACGAAAACAACTTATACTAGTGCAATATGCAGAACAATTTAAAAAATGCTACATAAGTTAGAAAACCGGCAGAAAAAGTAAAAAACACATGCAAAAAAAAAAAAAAAGAAAACAAAGAAAAATTCCTTAAAATTTCTAATCTAACGTAATATACATACAAACCATCACAATAATACGAATCGTAAAACTTGATTTTAACAAAATTTCAATTTTCAATTCTTCTAATTCATGTTTTGAATTTGCTTGTTGCACAAAAGGGTTTTAGTAAACAACTTTGCTTTGTTTGTGAAAAGATTTGCAACCATTCACGATTCTCAACTAGTTTTTTTTACAAATATTTTAAGAAACTTTAAATAGCTCTCTCTCACTCTCTGTCTGTCTAGGACTATGAGATCGAACAATTATCGCAAACTTGAGGTTACTCTCATTAGGTTTCGTGCCCACTATCCGAGGGAATACGTTGTAGTAATTATAACAAATGACTTTTAAAGAACAGACATATACCCCAAGAGATCTAAGCAAGCAAGTAATAACGACATTATACGACTATTATTTGTCCATCTTTTATCTGATATCGGAATTTCCAGACATAATTCGGTCTTGTAAGATATAATTCTAAAATTTGACTCAATTGTTTAATTTCAAGTTTCGCATGTGTAGCCGACGATGATAAAAATCATTCGAGCTCGCATCTCAGCGCGCTCAAGCAAACATACAAAGGCACAACACCCACTGGACTGCGGTTACTCCCTATCTCTTTCTTTTTCTTCATTTCATGATCAGAATCATGACTATTTTATACATGTTTTTGACATCTCTCTTGGGCGCATTAAGCTTTTATTAAGCATGAGCTTGTCTGTCCGCGTGTCAAACTATCTTTTCTTCCACTCGTTCGTCTGTCCATCTTGGTGCTCTTGTTTTCTGTGCTCTTTCTGTGCTTTTTCTAAAAAAAAACGTAGAAAATTTACGTTTCATTTTCTTAAGAAATTTACATATTTTCATTAAAATAATGCACCAAAAAAAAAAAAAAAAAATCATTGCACCATGAGAAAAGAGAAGATACGGTGTTATATGTTGTTTCGACATGATTATCTTCGATTTGACAGTAAACTATGCATTCGCGCCGTAAACGTCATATTTATTAATTTTTAATTTTTTAATTTTATAAATGTATACCATATTTGTAGACAAAAATAGGATCGATATGTTGTAGACAATATCTTTGGATGGACATAGTTTTTCAGAAGAAACAAAGCAATATTTTTAAAAACTTTATAAAAAATATTTTTGAAAGTTTTTTACTGCTAACAAGTCTACGATTATAGTAATTAAAATTTTAAAATATTTTTATGATCGCCTGCCATCAGTCCCGGATTATTAATTTCTAAACTTATTTTAACAGCGACAACTGTTCTGCACGTAAAAAAAAAGTAATATGCTTCAATTTAAAAGTTTCGAAATTATTTTTGAAATATATTTTTCCTAATTGAATTTGTATAGTATTAAAAAAAATTTATAATAAAAAAATAAATGGTATAAAAATTCAAAGGCCTACACTATTAATATAATAAATAACAACAATGAAAATAAAACGAAACAAATTAGAAATAAAAAAAAAAAATAAAAAAATAAAAAAATTAATTACCAAACTTTGAATGTTAATTACTGTGAAACGAATTTAAGTAAATCGTTGTGGTATTAAGTTTAATTTCAATTATCACATAAAAGATTATTCGGCATCAGTTGGATATTAAAAAAGATAAGCAAAAAGCAAAAAAAAGAAAAAAAAAAAAAAAGAAAACGCAAATGATATTAAAGAACACTAACGCTCGGTCTGCATATATAATTAATGACAGTTTTATTAAACAATTAAATAAATAATTGAAAAATGCATGTGTTATAAATACATATATACATATATTGTCAAACAGTATGAGTTGAAAAGTAAATTAAATTAAATAGATGTATAATATATATGTATATACATATATATATATACATATGTAAATGTATATATACATATACATATATGGATATATATATATATAATAATAATATAATATATATATATATATATATATATATTATATATATATATATATATACATATATATATATATATATATATGTATATATGAATATACATATACATATGTATATGTGTATGTATTGCAAAACAAAATAAAACCTATCGATACCTATAAATATAAATAGAAATTAATTAATACAAAGCATATATAAAAACAAGACACTATAGTTAATTGATGAATTAAATATATATTACATAAACTTAGCTGTTGATTTTGTGTCTTCTTCTTTCATCAGCCACGCATATATGCATATTTTATAGTTTATTGTTTTTATACCCATAACCAAAGAACGAGGAGTATATTTTTTTTGGCCAAATGTCTGCGACACCCATAAAAAAGCTTCAGATATCCCAGAAATTAGATATATATTTGATCAGAATTAAAAATCTAAACCGATTTGAGCACATCTCTCCGATACTTCATCCAATTACTAATAGTACAATCAAGAAAACAATGAATATAAGAAGAAAGATTATTCCACCTTCTAACACTGTACACAAGCCTGACAATCATGTTGACTATATACATGCCAAACTATTTACTATGATTCCAGAAGAGGCAGATACTATCTCAAGATAATATAGCACCTGCGGCATAAGAACAGCATTAGCTTAGTTCTCGTTTAATGTGAAGAGCTAGATATATATTAGTGATATAAATCATATGTAAGCGTACCTTAAATTTTCCCAAATGTTTGGTTTTGGACTGAAAGGAAATTATCAATGTTAGCAACGAAGCACTTATGACAAGAAACATACTCGACTTTAATATTTCCAAGCTGGAAGCTTAGCATAAGAAGAAGTATTAATAGTGGAACCAAATCTAGCACTTTAGTTTTAGAGGGATACATATTTACCGAATGTCACACACGACCCAAGCAATTATTCACACTTCGTTTGAAGGCTCCTCTCAATGCACGATGTAATAGAAAAACATCATCAGCAGTCCAGAACGCCTCACATATGGAACAAATAAGAGATTTTCTAAGACCGACCTCTGCTGAGTATCAGGATGCAAAGGCAGCAAACTAGACGTAATTTAAAATGCAAAAAATGAGATCTATCACGAAGGTAAAGAGAAATAAGTTGACAAGCCGCGTTTGAAAAGATATACTGATCTTTGAACTTCCTATAGAAATAAGCGCCTTAGAAAGATCAAGAGAGACCAAAGCATAAGGTTCACCAATATTAATACTTGCTCTGATGGAGTAAAAGCTGTAAATTTACAGTTACTCATGATGTCCCAAGTATCCGTTTTCATTTGTGCAGCGATGTGTCTCGCAGTCAGCAGGGAATTCTCGTACATTTGACTGAAATGAGCCGATCAACCCAAATTTTGACTTGGAGATGCGTTCAGGAACTGGCTATAACTTCTCACAACTTTTCACAAGATGATGCTTAAATAAAAAAATGGAAGCACAGGAATAATTGAAGGAACAAAAATAAAGTAATTTCTGAATGGGAGAAGATGGAGTGTATGATGCCTTTTCAATTTTCTTATCTCATTGCATTCGTCCAGAAGAGATAGTACCAAGGAATATGCGCGATTGCTCAGTCCAACAAGATATTTGGCAGAAAACCGTTGGATTCGATTTTTAGAAAAATGGGGAAAGCGTAGTTGTGTTTTCCCCACGGGTTTGGCAACATTTTTTTGAACTCATTTTGAAAGTGGGTTAAGTTTCACTTACCTTCAGTAAGCATAACGTTAATGCAGCTAAGTGATTTTAATTTTTTTTATTTATTAAATTGCAAACGATTGAAGGCTACTATCAAATAAGACGATTTATATAATGTTTCTCATGATTATAAAACAAAACAACCTAGTGGCGCTTTATAGAGGCCGCCTACAGCCCTCTATATGTTTTGGGGTTTGTGTCTTTGTTAAAAATTGCAACTTTTTCATCTTTGCTAAGTTATAGTTTAGTCCAAACTAAAAAAAAGTCTTCAAAATAACTGTAAAAGTTAAAGAAATTTATGTAAAACATTCATATATACGATAAATTAAGCCTTGTCTTACCATCAAGAAATTAAAAAAAAAAAAAAAAAAAAAAAAATTAAGTTATTACTATTAACTATCGAGCATCGGATGGCTATACTGCTGGGGACGGGCCAATATAAAAATTTGCGTGAAAGAAAAAATTTCGGCGAACTACGGCCATTTTAGATTGTGAACACCGAAAGATCCCACCGGTAGGTTCCAGGTTAGTTATTTTTACTTATTTTTAGGACTTAGTATTAGATTAGCCAGGATGACCACCTGACCTATGAAACTAGTAAAAGGCCAAGTACGGTTCTGACTCGAAGCTGTATATATATTAATGAACGCAACGTCGTGCCGATTCCGGGAAAAGAAAAATATATTCGATGGAGCCAACATAAGTGAATGTAAAAGAAGTTAAAGAATTGCATAAAACTACATACATACACCAGTAATAATAAAGTAATTCGAGAAGGGTTTAAAAAGTTTATGCGCATGAGAGTAGGGCAAAATCGCCAAGCTTTCCGGAGGTATAACCAATTCAGATCCCAATTGGACTCCGAGATATACAACTTTTCTCTTAAGAAGAATCTCCTTTGTCGCTAGAGAGCGGAACCTCGGCGAAAATTCGTTCCTTACAAGACTTTAAAAATGCTATTAGAAAAATATACCTTTATAGTAGAGTTTCTTTTTCATTCCGGATATGTATACGTAAGACAATGAGTAATAAATTGTACAAAATTCTAGAAAAATGCCGACATATATCGCAACGAATTCTCTTTACTTTCTTCTCCAACTTGCAACACGCATGTCGTGATAACTAGTAGCAGTATATTTGTGTATCCTACACCTTTGCATATTGAGTTTGTGTGGATGCATGCAGCAGTCAAAAGGATTTAAGATCACTTTCTGAATCTATCTTATTTGATGAAATTTGGTACACTGACGTGTGTTGACCTAAGGAAGAACGCTCGTATTGGATCACCTTTTTGATCACTTCTCATACAGCGCCCTTTTTTAAATAATCGGTATATAAATAACGACATTAGGCGGAGCGGTATAGGGTATTTAATATTGAACCATGGTCCACTATAGTGTTTTCACTTTGTGTTGTTTATAACATATTTTTTATTCATTTCATCATTCAATGCCGGAGAGCGGCCAACTGTGTTAGCCAAGTCTCAACCCAGCATATGGCAATAGTCTGCTCATTTTGTAAGAATAAATTTGTGGACTAAGCGCAGTGCGCTAACTCCACATTAATTATTTTTCTTTTTTCTTTGATAGTTTTCAACGAAGTGTTGGTCCTTTTTTTGGGGGGTTTTTATAAGCATAAAAAAAAAGCAAAACCAGTTTTAGTGTTAGTTTCATTTGTAGTTTAAATAGCAGACCAGTTTACACGTTTTCTGGTCAATGTGATCGCAAATGCATTGAAGTGTACTTAGATTGGTGAATATACTTAGCATTGTTAAATCTTTCTCTTCCTCCATGGTGCAGCATCAGTCCGAAGTCACTATTACCAATAAAATTACGAGTCATACAGTAATAAAAGCTTATGCAATAAAGCTGACATTTGCGAGTCCTATCACTTTTGTACGCGAGACAATAATCGATATATGCTCTCACTTCACTCAAACAATGTGTGAATGTTTATAATAATATTTTTAATGTTTATATGTAGTTGTTGTTGTATTTTAAAGGGATAAAACAAAATGTGTCAATCTCGGGATTAATTACGTATAAAAACTGGACGATCTTCTGGTATTGAGGATTAGATGGTATCCAATGGAGCTCTAGTTGGCTTTTGCTTCCAAAATCAAATAATAAATGAAATATAATATAAAAAAAAGAAAATAGTCGGTGTACTCCAGGTGGACAACGATATTTCAACATTTTTAAGATTGACATGGTGGTGGCTTCAGTAGACAGACAGGCAGATAGAAGGACAATTGACAAACAGACAAATAAAGTGAAGTAGCTTTCGCTTTTGAAGTTGGTCCAAAAACATACATATATTTTATCCGATCTTCGATGAGCATGTGTGTGTTATATTTACTTAACATATTTTGGACATTTTTGTGTATGCGAGAGTGTGAGAAGAACACCTTTGTGCATTGAGGTATTCTCATAATTAAATTCAAGTTTGTAGAAGGGGTAGATTTTGGATAGTTTGAGAATATATGTATATATGCGATGTTTTTGATATGTATATCGCCCATTTACGAATTAAATGAGGAAGAATGAATATTAAACTTTTCACAGTACATCCCTAGTAC